AGTAAACGTTAGTTTTAATAAATTGCTAGTTACCGAATGTTAGTTGCATTAATGCTTAACTAGTTTAAAGTCCCCGTTTGGGAACAGGTAATTGCCAAATGTGTTCTGCGAGTCTGTCTCATGCAATTCTATTTTCATTTCCATCAATTTTAAAGATTTCGCATCTGGCTGGGCTTTAAAGCAGTTTCTTTTAACTCCAGAGACTGAAACGTTTAGTGAAGCGAGTCTGTGTTTTGTATACCCTCTTCATATTGAAAATCGTTCAACAGGGCATAATGCTTTTCAGTGAGTAGCATGGAGTCGAAGGTGTGGCAGATTCCCACAGGTATATAAATTGTTATTTATTTATTTATTTTATATAGTTTACTTATTTATTTATGTATATATTTATATACTTATTTATATCACATAAAAATAATCTTGCTTATGGGTATCTTTAAATTTAATCATAAAATATATTTTTGTGTGTCTCTTTATATTGACAATTGTAGAGCTAAGACTTTGTTGTCTTTTAACTGTGATAAATTACTTTTAATAATATGAAGAACTATGTTGTTGCGAATAATTGTAATATTGAAAAGAACTCTTCTAAAAAGATATTGGATTCGTTGGAGGTACAAATTTTAGTTTATTTGATTTCGGCATCTAAATTCTTTTTGTTTGTATTTGATAAGAATAGAAATTGGAATTGGCAGATCTGAAGGGAGACGTTAGGTGTAGAGTTTTGAATATATGAATAATATATAATATAATTTCAATTTCGATTTATTGCACTCTTTGTTATATCTACAGGATTTTGTGAATGGTATTTTACAATAATATTTAATATAATATATCAAATAATCTAAGCCTCACAAGACCTTATTTCTTTAACTGAAGTTAGTCAAGAAATAATGACAGGTAGTCGCAGATATATAGGAGCAAGCACTTTTAGATATCACCTAATAATATTACCTAGTAGCTACTCGTATAGAGTATCACATAGTCGACCATTGCCGTCTAGTGATAACCCTAGTGCACACTTGTGCCTCTAACGAATGCTGGATTATGTCCATCAATGTTGAGGGTGAATATGTTCGACGATCCGTTGGCTGAATTAAAATGAAAACCGCCAGCACCACAGCGGTCACTTGGTTCGGTGGGGGTGGCTAACTGACTGGGAGAATTACAGTTGCAGCTGGCGCAGAAATTGCCATCGCAAAAGGGGAGCCAGGACTCGCTGCGTGCATTATAATTATGCCAGAATGTACCAAATGGCAGCAGACCCCCACCCCCCACAGCCGCCGCATCGCCAGCCATATCCAGAGACACCATACAACTGGCAGCTGTGCACATACATCCATCCATCCATATGCTGGGGCTGGCCTGGGGCTGCTGCCTCGGCGGGGTGTTTTGTTTGAGCGCCCGGCTGGGGATTATGGCGACTGCAGTTAGAGCCGTGTGCAGCATTTCATATGCAAAGCTGCGCAGCAGAGAGGCATAGACTCGAGCTAACCATCCAACCACCGAACCACCTAACCACCTAACCAGCGATATAGCCAACCACAGAGCCTGGCCAGAGGCAATGAGTTATGTGCGGCGCGACATAAGCAATTTGCATTTTGAGCATTTTGGAAGCAATTGTGATTGGTTATTAACGATGCACCTGGATGATATAATATCTGTCTGTGTGTCTGTCTGTGTGTTTGTGTGTGCGTGTGCGTGTCTGTACATTTATCTGCAACTCTGCGGGCAGCAGCCACATCGCTCGTTGGATTGAAGAGATATTAAAATGAATATTTTGCGGATAACATGAAATTGAAATTGTGCTCGGCTCTTTGTGATGGCCGCCTGCTTAAGCAGTCGATGCTGACGCTGAAGCCGATGGCCCCATCTTCATTCTCAGGCTCGCGCAGCAACGCGGGTTGCTTATGGCACAGCACAGAATTCCGATAACAATGAGAACAAGGCGGATGACGACCACAATGATGACGATGGCGGCATCGAGCATTAAAAACAGCAACAACAACAAAAACACATGGACCCCCTGTGCCCTGGGGCTACCAGGATGGAGGCAGCGCCAAGTGGCGTGCTCCATCGGCTTCCATTTGACGCTATCGTGTAATGTGTTTAGGCTGCGAGGCGACTGCCGACTTGGCCAACTCAGCCGACTTGGCCAACACAACAGAAGCAGAAGCACTTTCAGCAGCCAGCAGCGGCTTCTCTGTAGATTTCCATATTAATAAATGGCCACGAACAGAGCGAGAGAGGTAGCACAACAATCAGAAAGAGAGAGAGAGAGGTAGAGTGAGAGGGGCAGGTGTGGGGTGCAGCGGACTGGAGTTATTTATTGGCAGGCGTGCTCTCAATAAAATTATGGTTCATGCAGATTATTCGAGTGCAGAAACTTGTTTGCCAGCCTCGCCAGAGGTGGTGAGGTGGGAGGGGGGGGTTCTGAGGAACTGAAGATTATTGTGGCCATGTTTTTGAGTGAACGTCTGCGAGGCCAAGAGCTAAGCTGGGTCAGCAGCGCTATAGAGTGGATTTATCAAAATGGAGTGAGTGCTGCAAAGGCGAACAATATGAATCGGGAGCTCAGTTTCAATTGGATGTGCCTCTGTGTTAAGCAAACTCTGGTTGCCTTCCCACTGCCCTTCTGCCCGGGATGACAGTGGCTGGCAAACACTTTGGAACTAATTAACGTTCGTTTCTGGCTACATTTTAGCTACGATAAATGCCAGCCCCGATCGGAGGAGTCCCAGCATTTAGTCGCCGTAGTGCTACTCAAAAATTTGCATATCAATTTGTACACAGAATGAAAATAAGTAAAGCCAAACAAAAATGGCGTAAAAACTGAAAATTGCGCCGAGGCTGAGAGTCGCAGAGTCGCAGAGCCGCAGAGACCGAGAGACTGCAGCAGAAATCATGATTCTCATTATTTTGCTAAAAACGCTGCTCTAAGCAGAGGAATGGGAATAAACTGGATGTGAGGCAGCACACCGCAGGGCATTTAAGAGCAAAAGCGGCAGACTCAAATGAAGATATGCAGATTAAAGCAGCGAGATGGCCAAAACCGCAAAGCGAAAAAGACAACAAAAAATACAAAAACAAAAAAAAAACACAAAAACCAGCGTCAATGTGGAAAAATTACGATGAGCATTACCAGGCACATTATAAGGCAACCACAGAGCCTGGCGCAGGGCCGGGTCACAATGGCAATGGGCATGGGCATGAGCCTGGGCCATGGACCACGAGCATGGCTACCGGCTACCCGCTACCGGCTGCCGGCTACCGGCAACTGGCTGCAGTCAAGCCCAAGCACGGACGGCCGCAGACCAATTCTGAGATATGAACATGCTGCTTTTTTGTCTCCTGTGAAAGCCATATGAGAGGCGCAGCAGCCTTAGAATCGAAGCAGAAATATAGCATAAGTATGCACAGGGTCTGGCCTGGCCGAGGCCCATCTCGGCCAGCCGATAACAATACTACGTGCGCCACGACCAACTGGACATATAGTCAGCATACAGCAGCCAGCAGCCAGCATCCAGCTTCCAGCTTCAGCTTTCAGCTTCCAGAACGGGGGCGGATGTTTGGCTGGCTGTTTGTCTGGCCGGCTGTGAGTGAGCCAGTGAGCCAGTGAGCCAGGCTGCTGGCATCGTTTGCTTTGGCAATTGTTCTCGCCGCGTGCGCTTTGGCTTTTCCGTGTCTAGTCGAAAGCTCGGGCCCAGTTGGCGTCGATAAGCGTCAGCGTGCCAGTTAATAGCAACAAATAAATGTAACTAAATGCTCGGCATGGCGGCCACCACATAGCCATATGAAGATATCCAAAACGACGACACAATGCCACAGTTGCCATTGGCATATCGTCGCCACTTGGTCCACCCCCTCGCCTGGGGCTCACTTTGCAGTTGTCTCTGTGTGTGTGTGTGTGTGTGTGTTGTCTTCACAAATATTTCTGGTAGCTGGGCTATTGTTGTTTCGGCCAGCGCCAGGCCAGGCCAGGCCAACATAAGGCATTGTCTTCCTGTACTCCAGCACTAAGTATCTCCGGCTCTGGCAGCAACTCTGGCTTTTACACTGGGCATTTGTGCTGCGGATTTGCCCAAATTTGGCAACGGCCGCCGTGTGATATAATTCATAATTCATTCAGGCCGACATCTTTATTTGAATTTCAACTAAATATAGGTACAGACAAGAAGAGTTGTGTATAAGAGCATTGTACTTGCCTTTTATTTATTTATTTATATTTTTTTACAAAACATTTTTATTCTTTTTTTTTTATTTATTTATTAAATAAACATTTCTAGCTGTATTTTGTGGCATATAGTGTTATTATTATTTATTTAATATGTATCAATTTCTGAATGCATTTTCTGACCTGCAAAAGTCTTCTTACATGTCGATAATTTTATTTGAATTTCTACTACATATATAGCTAGGTTTTGGATTTACCCGTTATTTGTTTTTAATAAAAAATGTTTATATTATACTTTATATTTTTATTAAACTACTTTTCTGCTACTTTATGTGTCAACTCAATCTAGTTTTAAATTATTATTTATTTAATTTAAAAACAAACAAAAAATTATTATTTCTTTATTTTGTTTTTTAATTTCCATATGCATTTTTTGACCAGCGTAAACCTTATTTATTGCTAACATCTGTATTTGAATATCATGTACTAATAGGTACAGAGACGTATACAAGGTAACGTACGTATATAATATAGTCTGTACATATTTACTTTTATTAATTATCAGTTATTTAATTACTTATATATTTATATATATATACTAGCAGTCCCAGCAAGCGTTGCATTGCCCTACCCTTATTTCTAGGTAAAAAATGATTAAAAGGTATGTTGTTCAGGTTGGGATACACTCTAATTAATTTATTAATCAGATTTTCATTCAAGCACCTTGTGGTAAACGACATTCTTCGTTTTTTGGTCAGGTGCAAGAACAAATAATGCGGATGGTTTGCCAACACGTGAGCATGCCACGTACAATTGACCATGAGAAAAACACGCATTTTCTAGATTGAGGCCACAAATAGTCAAAGATTGGCCCTGTGATTTGTTGATCGTCATGGCGAAGGCAAGACGAATCGGGAATTGAAAACCCGTGCGGTGATGTCGTGTCGATCACTTGATGTTTGTCCGGGAAGCAGCAATTGAATAATTTCGATCCATTTCGGGTTACATGTAAATGTAATGAATAGATCTGGCCGACCATAATGACGAACATATGTCATTGCATCTTGCGCATATTCATGCATATGACGCGGGCTACCTGTGTATGTCGCTGGTAAAATAGTCAATCGACCAACATTTTCAGAATCTCCGTCTGTAATTATTGCATCGCGTAAATGAATATACTCTTTCGAACGCAATTTAGCTTGATTCAAACGGATGAAAGTCAGGCGCTCCGTTTCGATTTTCACGTACATTTCAACGCAGTATTGTTGAAACAGTCGACGAAATCGCAACAAATAATTGTCAGAATTTTCACGAATCATCAAACGATATGCGTAATAATTCATAGAACTAACCTTCTTGCCAGTTTCCTCACCTGAAACAAATGCAGTAAAAATTGTATTTTAGAGCCCCTAATAGGTTTACGACTCTTACAGCTACTCTCTACTAAATTAAGAGTGATAACTTTTTTTTGTGTACCAAAAGCAAACAGAATAAAATGTATATAAAGTTAAAATGAAAACAATGATTGATCTTACCATTCAATGGATTTATCATTTTGATATTAAAGTGATATCCATCGTCTCCTTGCCAAAACATCAGCGGGTATTGTAAAGCGTCATATGAACGGTGCGTTTCAGATATTCTTTGTAGTTGCGCAGCACTGCGTCGTGTAAGCACAATATCGCGTGCTTCCAAGCTTTCACCAACAATCAGGATTGCCACTTCATCGATTGTTGGAGCATTAAATGTGCGTTCATGTGTTCCAGCTGGTCTTTTATCTGCTCTGATTACTATTTTATAGTCATCTCTTGGCATGCGCTCTAAAGCGGTCTTGAACAACTTGACCAATGCATGATGTTCATGAAGCATTTGCTGCAAATCTTGGAGAATTGCTCTTTTCATCGCAGTGTTGATTTGGCGCCGATCAAGTTGCTCTTCCATATTGCCCATGAAGTATATTTGCAAGAATTTGTGCTGTTCATCTTCAATAGGTTGCAATGATCCAATGCGATGGCAAATCTGGCCTTGAATCTTTACATTCAAAGCCATAGTTATAGTTAGATTTACAAACACTTTTTACAGAAATCTAACCAACTACATTATCCCAAATAAGAAAATAAAATTTTTAACGTAAATTACCTTAAATGTCGGATTATATCCGTGTTCTTCAATAATTTCCGCCCCAAATGAAGTCATTTGGAAACAGGCATTGTATTTTTGAGTGTTCGCTAGAAAATGTCGTGATTCTAGTGTTTCGCCATAAAGCAGGGAACGCAATGGCTCTGGTGGCGAGACCACTAATGGCAATGTCACTTTACCACTAAGGCAGCACAAACCGGGCGTTTCACCAGCAAACTTCAATGCGCCACAATGCTGGCAAACAACGTCCATTGGACCAATTCAAACTAAACGATTCAAGCTGTAGTCAATGGTACAATCATATCGAAACGCTGCTCGATTCAAATCAATCCTTGAACCATTTCTTATTGCCGTTTCACGGGCTGCCTCTCTTTGAGAAGCACGAATTAAGGCCCTTCTTTGCTGGGTACTAACGCGGCGCCTTTCTCGTTCTTCGTCAGATAATTGACTCGCGGTATTCCGTAGCCTAATTGCATTATGGGTCCGCTGGGAAAGATTAGATCTTCTAGGACGCGGCATTTTCATTAATAGTAATACTGAATATGCACAATCGCACAAAACCACATAAAATATCGAGAAATCGAGAAATATAAATAAAAATTATTTACAAAAATAATGTCGAGAAATACAAATATAAATTATTTACAAAAATAATGTCTGAGAAAAACAAATTCAACAATACCTACCTGAACTTTCGAGATATTTTGCTTTTGTCCGTATGCGTATTGTTTTTCAAAATTTTTTTTTTAACAAATGTGCTTTTTTATGAATAGTCAGGTTCGCCTGAGGCTGTGCCGTAGACTGACTGACTACATTTGTTTATTTACTTCTACACTATTGTCAAAACTGTCACTGTTACCAAGCCTACTGGGTATAAAAAAAATTTTTTCAGTATTTTTAAGACCCTATACTAAACTCGTTGCGGAGACAAATCCAACAAATCAAAAACCATGAAAATTGGTTCAGCCCAAATCAAGTTATAAGCAGTCTTCACTTTTACACAACTTTCTTTTATATATATAGATATATATATATTTTTTTTTTTTTTTTTTCATAATTTTTTTTTTTTTTTTTGTGTATGTATATTATACAAATTTTGTTCTGCCCATTGTAGTAGCAGATTTATTTTTATATAGCTTTACATTTTTATTTGTCAAATGTTTTACTTTTTTCGCTTTCTTGAAAAATTTTCTGATTTTTCTGTATATAAATACATTTGGAGTAGATTATTAATTACCTATTTGAAACAACGTCTTGTACTTCACTTTTATTTATTTATACACTTATTAGTTTTTTTTTTTTTTAATTTTAATAAATATTTTAATATTAAATCAATCAATTTTTTGTGACATCATTGATTTTATTTAGTTTTACATAGTGATTTATTTAATATATTTATTTTTCTTTTCAGTTTCTTGATGGATTTCCAGACCAGCCTTAGCTTAATTTTCGTGTCGTTTTATTTATGTATAAGTTATACAATTTCGTTAATTTGAGTTTCATATTCGGCGCGCTCGTTCGGCATGGCCAAAGCCTCTCGGCACGCTATCCATTCATCAAATATCTTTCAACACATTTCAAGCGCCTGCGCTAATTGCCAAGTCCAGTGCCCCGTTTGGGAACCAGTCACCAGTCACCAGTCACAAAAAAATCTTATCTGTGCATCTCGTGGCAACGCCAAGTTGTCGCCAAGTGCGGAGTTGCATGTCTCTGCGTCTGTCTCTGTCTGCCTCTCTCTCTCTCTCCCACTCGCTCTGACTGTGCGCTGCAGGCGCGAAAAGTGTTCAACTTAAAATTTAATAAGCGCAAACAACTTCATAAATTCAAGTCGGGGCGAAGTCGGGGCTCAGTCACCTGACACCCGGAGACCTGAGATCTGGGATCTGGGATCTGGCACTCGCCGCTAACTTCTAGCATGTGTGTGTGTGTATAGTCGTGTTTGTGTGTGGGGAGAAGCAGTCGAGCACGACAACGAACGAAGATACATTTAATATTTAGCCATTAAATGCATTTATAATGGGCTTATCGTGCTCGGATCAACTTTATCACCCAATTTAGCGCAACTTCAAACTTTTATTATGCACAACGCCTGCCGTGGCACAGCCAAGACCGCAGACATGCAAGTCGAGCCATCATCTGCTAGAGGATACAGCGTTTTCAGAGAACAAATCGCACTTATCAGCTTAAGTGTCACAACAACGTAGACTGCTTCAATGTACATGTAAATAATACAATACAGAATGGACAAAAAGAAAACAAGCACGAAAAGGGTTAAAGTGCTCAACGAAAAGATGCCCTGTACTTGGTCCGCACAGCGTTTTTGAATACATTCGTAACTAGATAAAACTTAAAGTAGTAAACTATTGTCACATTATAAAATCCTTAATCGAAAATCTACGAGATATCATTTCGAAACTGAATTTTGATAAAACTTATAGTCGATAACATTTAAACTGAAATTGTCGTGGATTTTCTGATACAAAGTTGACTTCGGTACGTTATTCTGCTACATAAATAAAAACTTTAAGTCTCTAGCTCTTATATGTGCTGAGATCGAAGCGTTCAAGCATACAGACAGACGAACAGGACTACAACGACTTAGCCACGCCGTTTTTCTGCCTGTTACATACATCACCACATATCCAGTATACCCTAATTTTCTATTTACACTGGGTTCAGGGTATAAAAAATCTGTTTTGAAAATCTTTAAGCTGACAAGAAAAACAATTTATAAAAAATGCATGATATTTTCTTGAACAGTTTTTTGAGCTGTAGAAAAAAGCCTTGGAGTAAATACTATTTGTCCTCAAAGAGTTTCTTTCACAACAATTCTGCATCGAGCTCTTGTTCGAAGTACTCTCGAAGTACTTGTGACATTAATTAGCAAACACAAATTAGCACTTTGATTGCATTGAAATTCCAGGCTGGTTGTTTCAAGAGTCTCATGAATTCTCTCACGATCATTATCCGACTAAGCTGGAGGAAGCTGACTGTGAGAGAGTGACAGAGAGAGAGAGAGAGAGCGTCTCTTATGGGCTGGGCAGCATACAGGCATACAGGCATGGCTGTTAAGTGGATGTAGTGGAGAACAGAGTAAATGTCACTCGATACAAATTTGTGGGCAAGGTTCTCTCGGTGTCTCAATTGCTCCAGTTAGAATTTTTATAACCGAATTGCAATATCTGCCGATATCTGCGCTCATGTGGCTCCAGGCTGGAGGCAGCCGCGTGTTTGGCTTGGTGTTGAAAAATTGGCGGCACCTCTGACACGCCGCCGCCTCCTGCTGCCCGACGCGTCCTCCTCTGTTGAGTGTTAAGCGTTGTGCGACGCGTCGCTTACAGCGTCGCACTTGTGTCACGATCGACGTCGCGTCGCTGCCATTGTTGCATCTAAGCAGGCGTGCACAAAAGCTGCGGTTGATCTCCTAGAGATTGCATCTGTGGCACCGCGGCACTTTTGGGACTGGATGAGCTGCTGCTGCTGGTGGTGCTGGTGCTGCTGCTGCTGCTGCTGCTGCTGCTGCGATCATAGTCAACATCATCGGCAGACGAGCGAATTGATGACCATTGCCAGAGCCCGAGGCGTTGACCGGGGGTCGGAGGCTGACATGGAAATGGAGACGGAGCTGAAGTTTGAGTTCAAGTCCAAGTCCGAGTCCAAGTCCGAGCCAGAGTCCAAGTCTGAGGCCGAACACGCTGTGCCTTGAGTAAGTGAGCCGCCAGCTGCGTCTATTTAAGGCCGAGATTTGATTGTCAAGCGTAGATATGCCAATTTCTCTGTCGCCATTTGGGCCTTGGCAGCTCACAGCTTGTCGGACATTGTTCTGGCTATGAGTGTAGAATAAAGGCGGCCGTCAATTGATGCGATGCGATTGCCGTATGGTCAAGCAACGGCTTCGTGTCCTCTGGCCAATGGCCGAGCGAAAGTGTCAATATAATTGGCCAAATTGATGTTGCCTGCTTTCGCAGCCAAATTAGGCATCCGCGTTTCTCTCTCCTGCCACTCCACAACCGCTCGCTCGTCCTCTCGTCTCGCCATCAGCACTCAAAAAGCAACCAGCCTCAGCCACTCACCCACAGCTCACAGCTAATGCCGAGGCACAGACACGGGACACATTTCAATCAGATTTCATTCGTGTGTGGAAAAGCGATAAATAAATGACAAAATCCATTTCATAAGAGAATGAATGCCGCTCAAGGCAACAAACAACGCCAGCGCTGCTGTTGCAGCCGTCAATTTTGCATCTGCTGCTATTGCTGGCAACGCGGCAAACGGGCAACACTTGCAGCAGTCGCAGCAATCGCAGCAGCATTCTGCAACAATTGCTGCCTGCAGATGCGGCAGCACTTTGACTTCGACTTTGACTTCTCTACATAAATGGCAAAAGCAAAAACTCAAACTGAGACTGCGACTGCGACTGAGACTGAGACT